GTTCTGCATTGCTTCTTCATATTTACTTTGTGTTTTATGATCCCGCTCACGATATCATACGACTGCCCTTCCTCTGAAAGCACACCTTATTCTGGGATCGAACCCAGACTGCACAAAGTCCGGGCGCAGTGCTAGTTTCCTTCGCAGCAACGACTGAGCGAAGCAAGATTTATCCTCTCAGGCTTTGAGGTCCACGAATCGAAACGAGACGAGATCGAACAGTGGCTCGGGCCTACAACGCGGATTTGCAGATGGTTCAACAGTGATGATAACCAAGTTACACTTTACATAGATGTTTACAACCCTCAAGAGCACTTCACGAAACGTTCAGCGATGCCTTCATTTTACCCACCATTCTTGATGGCGTCCACTCTACCAGACCATTGCACGCCAACCTCTCCCTTCCTGTCCGAACTATCGTTATACCTTGGCTTCTGCATACCCAGTCCTCTCGCCGCGCTCTCTACCCTCCTCGGCACACTGTCAATAGTGTCATGGCTATTCGCACAGATGCCACAGATTTTCAAAAACTACTATATCAAATCGACCGCCGGGCTGTCGATTTTCTTCTTGAGCGAGTGGTTATTAGGCGATCTGGCCAACCTCCTCGGCGCCATCTTCACCAAGCAAGCCGGCTGGCAGGTCATAGTTGCAACCTACTACGTCTTCGTTGATATGTGCCTAGTGTTTCAATACTTCTGGTACAGTTACGCCGCAAAGTGGATATATGAGGAAAGTCTCCATTCCACTGGGGATAGTGATATCGACGATGCAGACAGTGCCATAATAAACGGGCTGTCGCCCATCAACTCAAATTTCGGCAGCGATGCACCACTACCCGAGGACTCTAATGACTTTACTCCGAAACAATCGGATCCCAGAGACGTCAACGTTCCTCATTTCTCCGCGGTAAACTACCGTGAAAAGAAAGCTGCTCCCCAAGATATCGTCTATGGGGATAAATTTGGCTCGAGTTGGATTGCTTCGCCTTCGCCACGCACTCTCCTTTACGCCGCAACCATGGCTTCCATGGCCTCAAATGTGGCAGCTGCTCCAGTGGCTTTTCCTTCGGACCACTATGTCCATGGAATTCATCTCTTCCGTGTCGGTACTCCTCTTGAGGTCGCCGGCACTATTCTGTCGTGGTGTTCTACCTTTCTGTACCTGGGCTCAAGATTACCTCAACTGTACAAGAATTGGCAACGACAGTCAACTGCCGGCCTCTCGCCTCTTCTGTTCATCGCTGCATTTTGTGGGAATTTCTTTGTAAGTCTGCCTTCTCCCCGGGACACCGTGTCAGCCTTCAACCAGCTACCTTTGGCCCCTTCTGTCCCGCGTCTGTCAGTAAACTAACAAGACTCAACAGTATTCTGCGTCCTTGATCACCAATCCAAATGCGTGGAATGACTACGAACCTTATGGACATCACGGCTGGGTAGACGCAGATGGGAACCAGAGATGGGCATGGGTAGCTCGAGCAGCTCCCTTCTTTCTTGGGGCTGCAGGAGTGCTAATGATGGACGCTTTGATGGGAGCCCAGTTCATCATGTATGGGGAGCGTGAAGACAGGATCGTGAAGGTAAGAGATTCACATGGATATAGCCACTGGGAACGAGTCAATGGTTGGATGAGAGGTTGGATTCCCGCAATGGTCGGGAAGGACAGAGTGGTGGATATGGCTCAAAGCCAGCGGTTATTGCATGAGAGCGGACATTTGAGTCTGAGTCGGAGACGAAGTCATCATCATGTGGACTACGGCACGGTCGGGTAATCCAGATAAACATGATCAGACGTATAGAACAGATGGAACATCTGTTTATCTGTAGACTCGGCGTTACTCTAGGAGAGTGACAGAAACTACCAATACCTTGAGACTCAATTCTAAGCTTTTTTGACGTCAGCTCTATAAGCTCCTTCTACACACGAATATTTGGAGTTGCGGCGGCCCGCTTCCGAATCTCCTCCGCATCTGAGCAGGCAAGACCACCAAATGATTACACCACCACCCTCTGAATCATTCTCAGACGCACCATCTACTTATTTACCTCCCAGGTCAGGCGTGCAATTCATATTTCCATGATCACATCACGCCTTATCGTCCGCCCAATACTCTCTACCACCGTCGCTTTAACTACATTCATCCGCCCAGCAAATACCCCGCATTTGGGAATCTCATCGCATATAAGTGGAATCGCGCAGGTGTCTGCGAGGAAGATGCATATCTTGAGTATTCCAATGTGTACGCCAGCTCACAGCTTCACGGCCGGACTAGAAGTTGTTGCAAGTGGTTGAAGCGGAGAAAAAGTCACGGCGGACATACCTTTGAACCTCTTGGCTGCGGCTTGCGACAATAGGAAAGATTGCTAATAAATAATCTTTACGATTTAGGGGTTGGGTCTTCCAACAACTATGCCTACTTGGTCAGCGATGATGAGACTAAGGATGCTGTGATCATTGATCCGGCGAATCCTCCAGAGTATGTTTTGTGCTTCCACAACTGTCAAGAAAGAGAGAGAAAGCAAAGACTGATAAGTATATCTTCCGTTCTTCTAGAGTCCTTCCCGTCCTCGAAGAGAAATCCAAGACGCTGAACCTTACGGCAATAATGAATACGCACCATCATTGGGATCATGCGGGAGGCAACAAAAAACTATTGTCTGCATTGTCTTCTCAACTACCCGTCATCGGAGGCAAGGACTGCGAAGCCGTTACAAAGACCCCGGCCCATGGGTCAACATTCTCGATAGGCAAAAATATCCAGGTGACTGCTCTACACACGCCTTGCCACACACAGGATAGTATTTGCTGGTTCATGGAGGACAAGTCGACAAGCGAGCGGGTCGTTTTTACTGGTGATACCTTGTTCATCGGTGGGTGCGGTAAATTCTTCGAGGGCAATGGTACAGAGATGAACAAGGCCCTCAATGACATCCTGGCGTCCTTACCAGATGATACCAAGGTTTACCCCGGGCACGAATATACCAAGTCCAACGTTAAATTTCTGAAGAAAGTCGACGGGAATAACGAGGCGGTGAAAATGCTGGAGAAGTTTGCGGACGAAAATAGGGAAACACAGGGTAAGTTTACCATCGGCCAGGAAAAAGCACACAATGTGTTTATGCGGGTGAAGACGGAGGAGATGAAGAAGGTCACGGGTAAAACGGAGCCCAGCGAGGTCATGGCTCAGCTGCGAGAGATGAAGAACGCGAGTTGAGGGGCAATCCGAGTTTGGTGCTGTCCATGGTGTTTGTATATGTAGTCATGATCTAAATAGTCAAGAGGCTGTTGTGATACGTTGGTGGTCATAGCCTTTCAGCTCAGAGTGGACTATCTGGATAGGTGTCAAGAACAAAAGCTTTACTATTCTCACAAATGTTAGATATACCTCCCTTTCCGCATTTAACGTGGTGTAATGCTGAACGGTTGTGCCGGTACAGGTGATCGGAATTCAGAGTCGGCTAGCGCTATAGATCCAAATGTATATATACTATTGTAACAAAGTTTCTTCCGCAATCGACCATAGGATATGGAATACAGGGCTTCCCGTTCGCTCAGCCGTACTTAAGCCATATGCCGATCAGTTAGTACTACCGTGGGTGACCAGGTGGGAATCCTGATTGTTGATTGTTTTTGTCTTTTTGCTTCACTATTAAACGAGGTCAATACACATATACTAATAAATGTTTAGTTGGTCCGTTCAGGCTGTATCGGCCGTGGCATACATCTACATTCACTCCAAAGACGGTTGTGCATGGGGATCTTGGCCCTCATAATTCCCTCCTTCACGACGACGGCAGACTCATTTTATACGACTTCGCAGGCTCCGGCCTCCGATGATTCGCGGCCCAACGTGAGCGCTAGTGTCCGCTATCTTTGCCATAGACGATCGCTGGGAAGGGGATGATGTTTTTACATCCGGTACAATCCTCTACCGCTCTCTCTATCTCTGTTCAAAATGGCGAGAACGAGGTGCCGCTTTGAATGTAGCCAATGATCGATGTCCGGATCATCATATTTCCGTTCCGGACCGTTTAAGCGGCGAATAGCTTTCAATTTCAAACAATGCAACATTCCAACCTCTTCCCCCTCTGACTACCCAGCTACACCCGCGATGGCACCTACGGAAACGTTTGATGCCAGCCGGACTCCCAAGGAATCCCCGGTGGCGATAGGCTCAGATGGTCCGGTCTAGTTTTCTCGACGCAGAGAAAGGAAAGGACGTCGCCGTGCTCGCGGAGTCAAAATGGGTGAAGGAATCTCCGCAACCTTCATAAATACATACATAAACACATGCTCGCGGGTCTTACGGACCCAAAGTAGTTCAGCTTTGACACTCTCACATGATGACCTTTCCCCAAAGGCGCGCGCGAACAACGGAAGACGTAAAGGTCGGGTTTCTTGATTGGTGTTGCCACATGGGTCATTGATCAATCAGCTTGAGACCGCGGATGGTCCAAGCAACTCGCCCCTCATGTCAGTCTGTCGGTCAAAGTCACGAGTCACAAGAACAATCCAAAACCCAGGACCCAAGAGTTGGCGGCGTATCGCCCTCTTGACTCCTTCTTCCCTCTCACAAGAAGACACCCGCACCAGGCTTCATTCATTCGAGACTCCTCACGATCGAAGAACGAGTAGCTTACCGCAGCCGCAACCCACCTACCGAGGTCGGCCGCAATACTTGCTAGACCCCTTGCAGATTGCAGATAACATTGCACGATTTCACAGGAAAAGTGCCCGCCTCCTTCTCAAGGCATTGTGTGCCGTTCTGCTATCAGAGCTGCCGTATCAACCGAGCAACCTCTCGTCCCCACGCTAAGCAGCCAAAGGCACAGCTATTGTGTCCAGGGAAAACGAACAACGAGCCTGTCATCGTCTCGTCTCGTTCCGGGAGACTGGATGGCTGGCTGGCTGGTATGATGCTTCCGGTCCTACCTCTTCTCCCCTTCCACTTCCCCATTGCCTAATCTACGTACCCCCAGAGCCCGACGAGCGACAACTCCATGGCATACCAGATGGAGTGGGCGGACAGCTACCGCTTCGCTCCGTCCGGTCCCATGCCGCTCTCAAATTACCCAAAGTCAATCATTGGGTTCTCGGATGCCATGTTCGCCGCGCCAGAGCCAGAGGCACATGCATACTTCAGGGTGTCAAAAAGGAAAGCCAGCACTGCATGTGAGGCATGTAAAGTGGCCAAGAGAAAGGTGCGAACACGCTAGAAATTGCCGCTCATCTTTTCTGACTACTCGACCATCTCTACAGTGTGAAGGCGGCCCGCCATGCTCCAGCTGTGTCAAAGCGGGAACCGCCTGCGACCACGATTTCATGAGAGACGGACGACGACAGTGGAAAGTCTTTGAGAAGGGGCGAAAGGCGCGCCTCTTTGACGTGCTGGTCGGTTGGATGAGGAGAGCAGAGCCGTCGACCGCCCTCGTCTTGTTCCAGAAGGTCAAGGACTCGTGGTCGGAGGATGAGGTCCTCGATTTTTTGGAGACCGTCTGCTCATCAGTGTCCAGCGGCGGTCCGGCGGGGTCCGACGACGACCGCGCAAAAGATGCGATGCGTATCCAAAACCTATTGTGTTGAGCTCTTGTCAATTTGCGGGGATAGGCCGGCAACGACGTCAGAGGAGCAGTATTACGCGGAGATGGACCAGGTACGGGAGCGAAGACGCCGGTCGCTACAGTGCTCATGATTCCCGGGACTGATCTTTGTGATGCCGATTCATACGATCAAGGTCTAGCTGGGTACGTGGTATCTTCACCTTGGGATATCGACCGACCGTTCTGGATGTTGCTCGAGTTTAGCCTAAAAGGGAAAGGTGGCTGCGCAGGTCCGCAACAGCTTTCCATGAAGGTGCTCCAGTACAGTATATTTGACGATATCAACACCGCGAGATTGTAATATACAGGTCGTATTTATCTTTATCTACATGTTCCAATCCCTCGTGTTGCTCCCCATTCCGCCAACGCTTGGTTGTACGTGCTCCCGCAGAGAAGTGACAGACAGACAGGCCAGCTTCGAGTGTCCGACCGAGTCTCATTCCTTTTTTTTGGGCTCTCTGAAATCACTATTCATTATCCGTCTTCGTGGAAGCAGCGCAGTGGATTGTGTTTCGACCGTACTGTGAATAACGCGTCTGGTTTGTCCATTCCAGTCTCACTTTCCCTGGTGGGTGGATGAACCGATCCAGTCCGGCGATTCTATCCTCGCAGCTTTCAGACTCACTCTCTTGCGACGACAATGTCGGGTATACACTTTCTCTCTCTCTCTTGAAAGGGGGGTTTAGTTCTTCTGTCCTATCAATCACGCACGTTCTCTCAGCGGAAGAGGGAAGAAGGATATGCGGTACGAAGGCGGCGAAGGATGGAAGGATCAGATCCCGCCCAGTTCATAGGTACTCGTAGGCTTGCGGTCCGCGGTCTGCGGTACTCGGCACGGATTCGAGTCGCTTGAGGAGCGGGAGGGTATGCGTTGGATAGAATGACGATCCAGCTCTCCTTTTGTGCCTTGGGAATTCTGTGGGAAGTCAGCAGCACATGCTCGCGTGCGAGATCAATCGGCAGAAAACGGCGGAGCTTGTGCGAAAAGTAAGGGATCTATCTGTCTGGTTCGGTCCAGAGTACGAGCACAGACACGGACTTGGACTTGACTGCATTCTCAGAGATGTCTCCTGGCAAGTGAGGCGTGTTGGCGAAGAACATTGCACGCTGGAGGCGCAGTCAACAACAATTTAAGCAAAGGATACCTCTACCCCTCATGAGGGGTTGCCTCCAACAAAGCGGCATGAAGGAATATCAGAATTCGTCATATCATTTATTGGTATGAAGGGCTGATGATTCATCAATAAATAAAGCGGCGATGGGATATATCCCGAAAGAAAAGTGACTTATATATATGTATATAAGCTAAATATCCATACGAGTACAAGCACCTCAGTGGTGATATGTAGTCGCCATCGAGGCTGCGACTACGCTGATTGATTCCAGACCTTGTTCCTTCAACCCAGTCCCAATTCCGAAAGCCAGCCAGTCCCAACAAGTCAACCTCAGCATGCATTGCATTGATTCCATCCATCCCAATCCATTCCCATTCCTGCCATGTTTTGATGCCAGCTCCTGTTCCGATTCCCGATCCCTAACACTTTTCTGAATAATAACGTGCATCATCCTTCAACATGCCGATGGCGGTCTCCAGATCCTGCTCCATCGCAGCCTGAAATTGTGGGTGTAGATGTAAATATGTCTCGGGACACATTGGGCCCACGAACTGGCGCCGCCGTCCGGCTCCGAGGGACCCCGAGGAAGAGGTAGAGACTGACCGTGTACTCTGTTCTCACGTTTCGGATTGCCAGTTAGAACTTGGGGTCTATCTTGAGCACGAAGAAGGATGGAGCGCGACAGGACGAGGGTGCAAATACCTCTCCAAACCGGTCAGAACGACCGGGGTCTCTCGGCGAGCCGTTTCTGCCACGGCGTGATCGATGCTTTCTGAAGCCGACGGGAGGGGGTGGTCCCTCGTTGGCAGGAATCTCGATGGGCATCGAGGGGAGGAGGAAACGGACGCGTCGGCTGGGGGGCGGGGGCGTTGATTTCTCGGTGGCCCTCTCCTTGGAGCGGGTCGAGGCCAATGAGGACCGTCGTGGAGGTGGAGCAGGACGACTGGGAGATGTGGCGGCGGCCTGCTCTTCCTCCATCTTCGTCGTGGTCGTGCTTGTGGCCGTTGTTATCGTCGTCTTCTCTCTTTCTGCCCTCGCTGCTCTAACCTCGGCGGTCTTCTGGGCCATCCTCGCGAGTGCCTGTTCCTCCGATGGCTTCCGGGCATTTGCAACTTTTGGGTCCATGGCACTCGTTGCCGCGGCCTTGAGCACAGGCATGATGCACGGTACGGGCAGTCTCGCATCCGTAGCAGCCGGTGGGAGTCGTCCGTCACGCGCTGGACCATGCTTCGGGGCGGCCGTAGTCCCCGAGATGGTTTGGGCGTATATGCTGCGGCACAACGCTAGCATTGGTGAGTTTCTGGCATACAAGGTTTCGAAGCTTGTGCTTTGACTGTTTTGGGGGGGAATGGGGAGAGTTGAAAGTCTAAAAAAGAAAGATGACGGCGGCCTTTTTGATCAAGTGAGTTCCGTTGTGTGCGGCGTGTGCGGCGGTGTAGTTCGTAAGGACAGAAGGGCAGCTGACAGAAGACAGACAGCAGAGGGCGGTGGTTTGGATGATCTCGGACCATGGACTTATTTCAGGAAAACGAGACTTTTTCATCTATCCCGACACTCGGACCTCAAGACCAAGACCAGCACACAGACAGAGTCGAACATCAACATCTCTCATTTGTCCACAAGTGGCTTTCAGGGTTCTCCCTTTCCCTCCCTCTCTCCCAAACCTTGCATGTCAACGTGGTCACCGATCCCCGAATGGCCAGCACAGGATATGCCTCTTTCATGAAACGCTATGATGCGTTTTCATGGCCCATGGCCCGCCCATGCGCAATGCACTGTGCAGTCCGGCACACATTGGTGTTGGTTTATTCGTATTGGCCTTGGCCTTGGCTGTTTTTGAGGCTGAGAATTGATTCCAGTGCATGCTACAGGCAGGTGCCAGGTTGGACTTCTTTTTGACAGCGTGTTGGGCCATGTGTCCATGTCCAGGTATGATTTCGGGAAGGACAGGAAATGAGGCGGCGTAAAGTGGGGGTTGGGTGGCTTGTGCCTTGGTCTGGTCTTCCCCGTCTTCCCTGCTCGTAGGGTAGGGCATCTCTGGCACAGGGAGTAGTAGCGCAAGGGGCTTCTCACCCGGCTACTCTCGGGGCAACCCATTGGACAGAGCACAGAGATACTTTGGGCGCTAGGGGGTTCGGGCTGGTCTGGCAATTCGCTACCTGGACTACTAGGTAACTGCAACACCACTACGCTCTAGAAGTCTTTTCGACCATCGGCAGCGGCGGGTCTGGGGGTACTCTGATGTGTCTGCGGGTGGTCATGGTCAATCCCTTGCTGATCGGGCCTCTGGCTCAGTGTATCGTATGACAATGAGTTCTGCTGATCGTCAGTCCTGCCAGAAGTGACAGGTGAAGACTGCTTCTCCTGCGGTTCCACCATGGCACAGACAGCGGTGATAATGGCGGTGTCAGTGTCGGGTGGTTGGGATGGTTGACCAGTGGCAGTGACGGGGGTAAGGATCTGCCGCTGGGAGCCCTTGGGAAGGGGGGCATCCATTTCCGGCACTGTTTGGCATGTGTTGACAGGTTCTGGTGGGTATTAGATGACCTTTGTCGTGGCTGCTAAGGTTGCTTGCGGAGTTCGAGGTGGATGCCCGTTACTAGGGAAAGACTCTTCTTACAACTTTTTTTCTTTCTTAAAGGCTTCGGAATGGGCAAAAGCAAACCTCGGGGGTGGCCATGTGCATGGAAGTACATCTAAGATGTCAAGGCCGGAATGTGGGAGGCTGTGAGGCTGCGGACTTGTACTGCTCGCCTCCTGTGCCCATGAGTCCATAATCCTTACCAAGTAGCAGCGGACAAGGGAGGTAGGGAGCCTTAGACCGACAGTGAGATACCAGTTGTGGTGGTGAGATGGGCGTTGATGTGGTAGACTGGAGGGGGTCGTTGTTCCAAGACATTTCTCACTGTGCTACATGCCAAGACTAACGCAATAGTGCAATGCTAATGGAAACCAACTAGCCTATCATACAGGGCAAAGTACATGGTCTTCCCCGCCTTTTTTGAACAGAGTGCGTATAGAGCGCTTGTGCCAAGCCTTGGCACCTATGAGAACAGCAACCGATACGCAACCACTCCGCATCTACTCGGGGTTATTTTCGACGTCGTTTTCTCTCCCAGGCAGGGGACCTAGCAATGTTGGTGGCATGTTCAAGGCATTGCAGGTTGGAATGAAGATGATGCGCTAGAGTAGTAGCCTGATGGATGCAGAGGAGATGGCGAAGGGAGGGGGATAGGGCCAGGAAGCTACGATCAGAGAGCAAGGGGTAGGAGGTGGGACAGAGCCAAATACCAGAGGTCGGGACAAGTCGGAGGGGGCAGAGGCAGAGGCAGAGGCACAGAGAGAGTGTGTGAGAGAGAGAGAGAGAAAGAGGAAGGGCGAGGAGGTGGGCATCGCTAGAACCCCGACTTCGAGGTAGAGACACTGGTGACAAGAGTTCAGCCACTAGTGTTTTCAACCCTATGCCCGGAATGGGCTGTTTCTGATCTCTATAGCACTGTCCATGGCATTGTACCACGAAATTCCTCTTTATTTCGCACAAATCTCTGTTGGTTACTCCTTGTAGCTGGGGGGAAACCAAAATTCCCCACGGTCAGGCTGGTCAGGCTGTTGGCCTGGTCATCTGGCACCTGACAGCAGCGCCACAGGCCAATAGACTCCTGCGGTTCTCCACACCAGACAGAAGTTCCTGCCCTCCTCTCCAGATACACGTGGGTCCCGTTTTTATTGCTCCATACGGTAATTTCTCTGGCATGCCCTTTGGTTTTACACGCTCTTGAGTTTGGTCGATCAAAAAGAGAAAGAGTCGTGTTGATCACAGACTCAGCAAACTCGCAGCTCAGATTGTAAAACACGCCAGAGTTTGGTACCGAGCCCATCTACCCAGTCAGGTTGCTCTGCCCGTCAACCCCCTCACTTCGCCCAGACTTTTGACAGGCGCCATGTTCCAGTTCTAACCGTCCTCCCATCTCGCAACCCCCCTATAACCTGGATCTCCTCTTTTTTTTCTTTCCGCCAACGGGTCACGATTATTGGTGATCACAAGTTACAGTGCAAGTACGGACAAGTTTTGTCGAGGCATTTGCATTTCGCCCAGACCCAAGCGCGTTCCGGGAAACTCTGGAAGATCCGCGACTAATCACAAGGCATCAGTTTGCGCAGCGGTGGAGTCCCAGCTGAAGTCCCCCTCAAATGCATCGCCGGATTAGGGCAACGCCGCGAACAAATCAACAGCACCATCCCCAGGTACTGACGCGCAGCGCCCAATAGTAACGCTCCGATCCCCAGAACTCTTACGCTCATCATGTCAAGGTCGCCCAGATCGGGGGAATTAGAGTTGTGATGTGCTATTGAAGCCGCATGTGCTCGGATCCACTAAACACGATCTGATCCGGCAGGTCGTTGTCGTTGCCGCCTTGTCCGCACCTTCCCTCTCCATCCATCTACTGCTTTCCCTTTTGGCTTCTTGCTTTTTTTTTTCGCTCCCTGAACATCCTGCATCATGCGAGCAGGTCAAGTCACTAGCTTCATGCTTCATGCCGGGTCGACAGCCACCGAAAAGCTAGAGTTGCCAGACGTGAGTGAGTTAATTTCAGGTGGTAATGCGGGCAAGGTTAGCTTTCGCGATGATCGCTGATCAGAGTTTGCCCTCCACCTTGCATCCTCCATGGCCCAACCATCCGACATCCGAGCTGCTCTGGTCTCTCCGATATCCATGGGGTGCACACTGCTCTAGTCCTGCAAATCCTACCCCAATCCAGTCGAAACTGCAAGGGATGGGAATGGTATTGAGTCACACATACTGCGTTTGCTTTCCCGTCGGAGACTTACCCTCTGGATTTGGTGCTTTCCGGCAGAGGGAGATGCCAGAGTGCTGAGGGAGGGTAGTGTACCCGATAGCGGGATCGAAGCTAGCAGGTAAGCACTCGCAGCACTGCCCTAGGCGATCGACTACTCCCGCAGTGTCCCAGGGTCACCAGTCAAGGAGCTGAAGCAACAAGTGGCTGTGGCTGTTACGATCCCAAACCTTGTCGGGAGATGAGGCCAGTATAGGTGAACAAGAAAGGTTTTGCCCAGTAATGAGATTTAACGCATGATCGACCTACAAACTCCTACCAACTCCTACACGTACAAGGGCATTGGGGGGATTGGCTTTGGATCCGCCCACCCCGCATTGCTCTGCTCTGCCTTGCTTTGGTCCCAAACCTCACTCGTACTCGTCCTCCGCCTCCATCTCCATTGGTGGCTCAGAGTTGTCTGTCACGGCATCACCGTTGTCGCCCAGTAGCTCCTCGACAAACGGATTGGAAAACATCTCCACCAGATCAGTGTTGAGAGACTCTCCCCGCGACGATTCGTGGCTGATGATGCCTCGCAACACATACTCGGCCTTTACAATTGTCGGCCGAGCCTGCATCAGGAGACCGAGCATCCGCTTCCACGCCCGGTCAGCATCCACGGCAATAATGGTGCCCACCACGGTCTGGGAGATCGCCCCCTGATGCACGCGGACCTCATCAAGCACCTTCTGACGCCATGGATAGGCATCGAGGGCCCGAGAGATGGTCGCGGAGGTATCTTCCCAGAGTTGGTCCAGCCGCACTCGGTACTCGATCATTTCGTCGGCAGAGATGCCGAGGTCGCGTGACTTGTAAACCATGTCGGCCGTCTCCCAGAACAGCAACAACATGTCAAGCAGGTCCACAACCTCTGTAGGCTGTTTGGGGTGTTAGCAGCAGCCTGGATTGAGGGGGTCCGAACTTACTTGGAAAAGCTCCAGAATATCGCTGTCATGACATGGGCGCAGGCCACGATTGTCATGGACAACGGCGGCGATGAAGATCCCTTGGCCCGGATTGTTGTGGATTTTGAGTTGCAAGGGCCACCCGGGCTGTGCGACTTCGGGAATGAAGTGGCCGAAGACCTCATCCGTATGGGACAGCACCCAACCCTGGAGAAAGCCAAAGGGCATGCTGTCACGGATTTCGATACGGTTGCGGCCGAGCATGTCACGCCGATAGTCTTGGGCGTTGTAGCGGCCGAGGACCGCACCGTGCCCGAGACGTAGATACCAGACGTGGACCATGACCAGGTCAGATTGGGCAACAGCCCGGCCTGGGTAGCACAGTCGTGGCGGGGGACCTGGGGGTAGCCAGACAGCCGGCGGAGGCAGATCAGGCGCGGGGTCGCCTTGATGTGCGAGCCGTGGTTCCCGAATCTGGATAGGTGAGTGTGGTGGTGGTAAGGCTCCAAGCTGATTCCGGAACTGCTGTTGTTCCCGTCGGAGCTGC